TTGCAATATTCAGATAATCAATAAAGGAATTTTAAAAATCTGTTTTAATATATATAGATGTTAAAACTTAGAAATAATTCTATTTTTGAAAATTGTTTTGAAGAGTAACAGCCTACCCCAAAATAAAAATCAATGACTGTATTGCCAGTCTAAATAAACTAAAATTTTAAAAAATTATGTTTAAATATATCCTAACATCTTACATCTTCTTCACCCTCAAAAGAATCCTGACTTGTATGACAAATTATATAGTAACCCTAAATATATTTGAAGCCAATCTTAAACTCTTCAAAAAAAGTCATCTTAATATTCTATTTTATTGTTATTTAATCACTAAGTCATATTCAACTCTTCGTGACCCCATAGACTGTAGCCCTCCAGGCTCCTCTGTCCACGGGATTTCCCAGGCAAGAATACTGGAGTGGGTTGCCATTTCCTTCTCCAGGGAACCTTTCCAACCCAGGGATCGAAACTGTGTCTCCTGCATTAGCAAGCAGATTCTTTTTTTTTTTTTCCATTTATTTTTATTAGTTGGAGGCTAATTACTTTACATCATTGCAGTGGTTTTTGTCATACATTGAAATGAATTAGCCATGGATTTACATGTATTCCCCATCCCGGTCCCCCCTCCCACCTCCCTCTCCACCCGATCCCTCTGGGTCTTCCCAGTGCACCAGGCCTGAGCACTTGTCTCATGCACCCAACCTGGGCTGGTGATCTGTTTCACCCTAGATAATATACATGTTTCGATGCTGTTCTCTTGAAACATCCCACCCTCGCCTTCTCCCAGAGTCCACAAGTCTGTTCTATACATCTGTGTCTCTTTTTCTGTTTTAGCAAGCAGATTCTTTACCAATGAGCCACCAAGGAATCCCCTCATTTTATTACTTTACCATTTAAAACATCTGCTATCTAACTTGCTGAATAATAAATTTAAGACTAAACTTATGAACTGATACATTTGTAACAGTTTAAGGTTTTTACATGACAATTTACCAGTGTGATTAAATGAGAATTTAATAACTCTCCCATTAACTTAATTGGAAATAAATCATAAAATTATCTATACTGGCAGCAGTTATTCTTTATTAATATTATTAAGAGTGTCTAAGCTTTTTTTTCTGGCTCTAAATGAGCCACCAGGACTTCCATGGTGGCTCAGATGGTTAAGCATCCGCTTACAATGCGGGAGACCTGGGTTCAATCCCTGGGTTGGGAAGATCTCCTGGAGAAGGAAATGGCAACCCATTTTCCATCAAGAATAAGAACACAGTACTCTTGCCTGAAAATCCCATGGACGAAGGAGCCTAGTAGGCTACAGTCCATGGGGTCGCAAAGAGTCGGACATGACTGAGCGACTTCACTTTTCTTTTCAAGCTTTTTTTCTGGCTCTAAATGAAATATAATAATTAATATTTTATATTTAAAATGGAACTCAGATGTAAAAATTATGAGTACTAAGAAAAGAATCAAATTGGGGTTGGGGAGAAAATAAAAAACTCTCGAAGACTATGGAAATAAATCCCTATGAAGAGCAAAACAGGTTATAATTCCTAATCTTTCAAACATGTGGGCAAACTAAAAACTGGAGTTTTATATCATCAGTTCAGTTCAGTTCAGTCGCTCAGTCATGTCCAACTCTTTGCAACCCCATGAACCGAAGCATGCCAGGCCTCCCTGTCCACCACCAACTCCCGGAGTCCACCCAAACCCATGTCCATCGAGTCGATGATGCCATCCAACCATCTCATCCTCTGTGCAACCCCATGAACCGGAGCACGCCAGGCCTCCCTGTCCACCACCAACTCCCGGAGTCCACCCAAACCCATGTCCATCGAGTCGATGATGCCATCCAACCATCTCATCCTCTGTCGTCCCCTTCTCCTCCTGCCCTCAATCTTTCCGACCATCAGGGTCTTTTCCAATGAGTCAGCTCTTCACATCAGGTGGCCAAAGTATTGGAGTTTCAGCTTCAACATCAGTTCCTATGCAATATTGCTCTTTACAGCATCAAATCTTGCTTCTATCACCAGTCCCATTCACAACTGGGTGCTGTTTTTCCTTTGGCTCCATCCCTTCATCCTTTTATATCATCACCTGCCTTTTAATAAACTCAATTAACCAACTCCTTGATTCTGAAAGTAAGATTCTCTTACATGTATTCCTATAAAAATCATCTTATTATGGGTGCTAATGTGAGAATTATTCCAGAATGAAAGACAAAGTTCTAACTTGTGAATGGAAGGTTAAGAATGGAGGGGGGTAAAAGGCTTTAAAAATATCAGTAATACTACCTTAACTTCCCTCCATTTTTCCCCCTATAAAACTGCACACACTGTGATATGAATATATTCCCATTCCTATTATCCAAAATGCATGTGGAATAATAATAAAGCCACAGAGCTCTAAAGCACATACATACAGCCTTTGGCAAGGAAATAGCTATTTGTAGAACTAAAGCTGTTATCAATCATACCGCCTCACACCACCTTTTCAGAGCTTTGGGGCCCAGATGAATAGGTACTCCTGACCTAAGACATTATTATTAATCTGAAATGTATTACTAAGCACCTGAGTGAAAAATGTTATCAATTCTGGAAGACTTTCATAGCCAAACAATCTAGAACTGAGCCCAATGACACAGTTTGCCAAAAGTACACACAGCTGGGCTTATTACATGTGCTAATTTAAACAACATTTTTCCTTTTCAAAATGCAGCATAAATTAGTGAAAGAAACTATTTTCGGTAAGAACATTTACTTTTTTCTAGTTAAAAAGGTACAGAACTTTTAGTCTTCCATTCATATTTCCTCCTAGGAAGTATTTTCAACAATGTGTTTTAACATGGCTATCAACAGGGAAGATGACAATTGAAAGGAATTTTGACAAATCAGAATGCAAAAAATAAAATATTAAGTATGACATTCCAAAGTACAGTCTCTGGATACAAAGTACAAAAGACGGCATTATATCCATGGTCAAAGTGGAGGCGAGCTGGTGGCTCAGAAGTGAGGCCACATCAAGGGACCACTAAGAGATGTGCAGCGTGTCTGTATAAATCACCCGACAGAGGCACGAATGGATGCTTAACGTCCATCACAAAAACCAACACAAATTATGAGATAAATACGTAGGTTAAAATGGGTGTATGGGCACCAAGACTAAACGAAGAAGTATGATAATAACGGGAACAGTGATGTTTACCAACACTTGGTGGGTAATAGGGCTTGTAATGAGCATATATGCATTATCTCAATCTCTACTATTACCCCATAACCTACAGTATTACAGCTACCTCCACTTTACTAGAACGCTAAAGAATTTGCCAATCATGACATAACTAATAACTGGCAGAATTGATCATCTATATGAATCAGGTAACAGTGTGATTCCAGAGTCTGTAATCTTAGCTTCTATACCACACTATCCATTTACTGTCCTAGAAGGTCAGAAACAAACACGCCCTATCAGTGAGTATACCATGTAACCACAGACAGGCTTTATGCATTTTATTTCACTTACTTTTCATATAAACTCTAACATTCCACTATTTAAAAAAATGCCTATTATAGAAAATTAAGAATATAGAGAAAAACAGAAAAAAAGAGCAGGAGAATCATTTAGTTCTACTACCCAAAGACAAACCTCAAATTTTTATAACACTTCATTCTAATCTTGTTTATATTTGTATTTTTATTTAAAGTTCTATAAGACTGTAATCACCATCTATATATATTTATAAAAGTGTTTTTCCAAAATTTTTTGAATTTTTGTTAACTTATAATGAAATCACATTTTTTCCTAGGAAGTATTTTTTTAATGACTACATGGTATTTCCTTCTCTTAATTAAGTAACCTCTCTTGTATTGCTACACATTTTTGTTGAAGGGCTATACTAACTTCAGCATTTAATAATACAACTAAAGTTTTCCAAGTAACAGCTTCATATTTTTAATTAGTTATAAAGCAAAGACTGTTCAGAGAAGTTTTCAAAATTACTACAGTATATTAAAACTTAGATCTAAAAGGAAATGACTTTGGTTTTACTAGACCCACAGCATATTTTCTTTTGCTCATGTAACAGAAAATATGCTATCAAAAGATATGACTGTCAACAACATGCAGTGAAATATTCCATATACGTATCTTTTTAGGGCTTCCCAGGTAGCTCAGTGGTAAAGAATCTACCTGCCCATGCAGGAGAGACAGGTTTGATCCCTATGTCGGGAAAATCCCCTGGAAGAGGAAATGGCAACTCACTTCAGTATTCTTACCTGGGAAATCCCATGGACAGAGGAACCTGGTGGATTACAGTCCATGGGGTCACAAAGTGTCAGACATGACTGAGCACATAATCACAGATACATTTTTATGCAATTACATTTTAAACAATTGTAAAAATATAAAGGATGAATAAAACTGTAAGGATGAGGAAGTATCAGGAAACTTAGTGTGGCTATGAAACCCACATGCAAGACTCTGCATAAGACAACTTCAAACAATCTTGTCTAGCGAAAGGAGATGAGCTGACTTTATACACTTTCCAGGCCTGGAAGTCCTGAGGACAGATGAAGATAAGATTTCCCGTTTTCATGAGATTGCAGTAAAACATTTCTTAAAAAAATTTTTTACCAATTACAAACTTGGAAACTGCAAGCTAAGCTTTAACTATTGTTCTCTTTGTCTTTAAATTTCACCTCGAGCACTTCTCTCATCCCTCAGGTCAGAATGCTTCTCACTTTCCACTAGAGAACCCAAAATACTGAGCATCTTTATCATAGTTGAAATAGTTCTATGCTGTTTGATCATCACTGATTATTATTAGACGTCACACTGAAATATTTTAAACATCTGGATTCAAAATGTATATGTAGATATAATACAACACACAACCATAACAACATAAACAAAGAGGTACAAATAAATACTAACTCAATTTCAAAGAACTTGACAGTTAAGAAACCTTCACCCTGTTGAAGACAATGAAAATAAAAACTTACCACTATTCTGGCCAAGATGCCATCATCGCTCGCATCTAGGGTAACCACAGCTTTGTCAGTCTCTATCTCACATAAGGCATCTCCAGCACTCACGGCTTCCCCTACAAAACAAGACTGGGTTGGTTTTGTTTTTTAAATATGAGTACTAGTTATGGGAGTTGGTGGGTGTAAAGTGTTTAAAACATGATAAAAAGTATCAAAATACTCAACAGCTATTTCTGGGCTGTGGACTGACAAGTAATTCTCATACTGTGTGTATGTTTCTGTGTGTTTCTGTTTATGTGTATATGTATGATTTGTCACATTTTCCAAAAGCCCAATAATGACATAAATTATATCTCTTATACTAAAAAAGTGATTACAGAGATTGTTGAGCAAATATTAAATCACATTTTATGGAGAATAGTAGGGGATGCATATCCTCCTCTAAACAAATCAATTCCAGACCCCACAGTCCTTCCTTTTGAATATATTTTTACTATTATTCCTTAAGAAAACAGTTTTACAATTAATTGCACCTCTTGAACATCTTAAGCGAGTTCAGAAACCCTGCTGGCACAGAGCAAAAATGAATAAAAACATATGAAGCATGATGAGAGTAAATCAAAGACACAGCTAAGGTCAAATAAGAAATGTTTCTGTACAACAGAAATGGTATGGATATTCAAAAAGGCTGAGAAGAAACTGACCTGCTGGCTTCTGGATCTAAAAGCAGGTGGTACAGAGGAAGGGTGATGTATAGTGGTTTTCTCTGGCACAAAGGGAACTAAAAGCAGGGATCGATTCTCACATCGATTCTCTCCTTAAGGCTAGGGCTGGATCATGGCTCTACTTGTAATAGGAGACTGATAAAACAAGGAACCCAAACCTCTGACCAGAACTATGGCTTTAAATTAGAAGTGTGGGTCTGATAAGGTACTAATAAGGGAACGAAAACTACCTAAAAACCAGGAGCAGAGCCAAGCCACCCTCTGGTTCCATTAGTGCATCTGCCAGTATACCGAGTAACAACAAAATCTAGCAAAATCCCTAGATTGAGGGTGGGAAGGGGAGACTCAGGGAACAGGTGGGAAGACATTGAAAGTAAACCAAAAACATTCTTGTCAAAAGTAAATGGCAAAACAAAGTTCCAAAACATGAAGAAATTTAATGCCAAGAAGGAAAACCACAGAAATCAGGAATTGACTCAGAAATTCATTTCAGATGCAATCCGTTTAGTGCAACCCACCAAAGATTTTAAAATAAGTATCTTAAGGATGTTCAGAAACAGAAACGAAGGTATAAGATCCATCACATGAACAAGAGATTAAAAAAGAAAATTAATGTACAGAACATTAGGGGAAAAAAAAACTAAACTGGAAATTTTAGGTATGAAAAATAGAGTGAATGAAATCTTATTTAAAAAAAACAGTTAATGGATATATTCTACAGGTGAGGTAGTGAAAGAATGATTTAGTAAATTAAAGATAGGTTCAATGAACTACCTGGAACTTAATATGAGCAGACAAAAAAAGTTAAGTAGAAAAGAGCAGTTGCGGACATAAATTGAGGCTGCAACATTTGTCCAAAGGAGCTCCAAGGGAAGAGATGGAAGAGAATAGTGGAGAAACAGTAACTGAAGAGATAATTGCTGAGAATTTCCTAGAACTGAAAAGAGACATGTATCTTCAAAATGAAAGAGTACTGAATGAGTTTACAGTTACAGATCTATGATGTATTGACTAGGAGGGGACACAGGGAGTCTTGGAACTTGCTGGAAATATTTTGCATTGTGACTAGGTGTTGGTAACCTGGATACATGTGCATATAAAAATTAACTGAGTTTATACTTTGTGCAGGTAATACCTTGATAAAGAGAATCACCGCAAACACATGACTCCACATTGTAGATACACTGTGTCGAAGCTGCATACAGTCGACAATAGAAACCCAATCGTAAAGGCTATCAGAGGGAAAAAAAGAGATTACCTCAAGGAGTGGCAGACTGAGAGCAGCTTCTCAGCAGCTGCGACAGAGGTCGGAACACAGTGGAGTAATGTCTTCAAAAAGCTGAGGAAAAACAACTGTCTAGAATTTTATACGCAGCCAAACCACCATTCAAGAATGAAGGGAAAGTATTCTTTAGATACATAGAGGCTAAGACAATTCACCACTTATTGATGAGCTACTACAAAATGCAGTTTATCAAAAAGAAAAGTAAACAGAGGGGACTCAGGGTCTATGCAAAACAAGTTAGCACAGGAGAGGACAAAGTGTTAACTACTAATCATTTACAAGGCAATTTCTGAGGGGTTAACAAAGTTTACAATTCAAACACTAAAAAAATAGTAAGATGGATAAGGTTATTTTTGGCTTGATAAAACATACAGAACTTTGATATAGACAGGAGAAAAAGATACTGGATAACTCTACATTCCACTGGCAAAATATAATTAAATATGTATCCTAAAAACGTGTATGCCAAAAAATATAAAAATGGAAATACAACCTACATCATTCATAAAAGCAGGAAATATAGAAAATAACAAAATGTATTATCTAATTAAAGGCAGATGCATGAAAAGAAAAAAGCAAAGAATAAAAATAGAAAACACAAAAATGGCAGAAGTTCAAACATACCAGTAATTGCAATTAATATAAATGGATTAAAGCCACCTACTCAAAGTAAGAGATTATCAAAACAAATTAAAAAAACAAAATCTGTGTAAATGTTGCTTATAAGAAACAGACCTAAAACAAAAATAGAATAAAAGGAGAAAGAAAAATATAAAACAGAAACACACCCCCTTGCACACACACCAAAAATAGCTGGCATAGCAATATGAATAAGCATTCTCAATAAAAGAACATGAAGGAAAATCTAAAACGCTGAAATAACAAATATGCTCTAGAAGTTCACTGTACTAAAACTCCTTCACTGTATACCAAGATTTTCACATAGATGGTTATAATATACCTCAGTTAAAATAGTTCAGAACAACCAATACAAACTATTTTAATGAAATAAACTTGAAATAAACTATCTGTTAGGTATTTACTGAACACCTAATTGGCGCTCTCTGTCTAACCCCAGAGAGATTTTCCTACTTAACCAATATTTATTGAAAATGTATTATGGCACTGAGGATTCAACAGTGAGGGGAAAATAAAAAACAAAACGGTTAAGATTTCTGACTTCATGAAGCTTCCTTACTATCTTGTGACAAATTAAGTGGAAATTACAGTGGGGTTAGGTGAAGTCAGGATGCTATGGCAACAATCAAGAGGGGCATCTAATTCAGTTTTTGGTAGATTAGAGAAGGCTTTCTTTAAAAAAAAAAAAAAAAGAAATCTGAGCCTGAAGGAGGAGGCAATCTAGTAATTGGGCGAGTGATCCCGGCAGAAGGCACAGCATACCCAAAGCCCTTGAGGCTAAAGAGAACAGGGAACTTCTAAGGATCTGGCTAATAGTACCTGAGAGAAGCAACAAGGGGTTAGGCTGGTGAAGTAAGCAGGAATCAGACCCAAAAAGCAATCTTGTCTGTCAGTCAGAGAAAGCTACTGTGCCAGATTATACAATCTCACATTACTTCTTTATCTGACACATTTCAGGGTAGTTAGGACAGGTTACATTGCAAAAGGAAAGGAATCACATCCTAATACATTTCTGTTGTAACCACGGAAAAAACAACTAAAAGAGCAACCTAGCAGTTAAATCCTTCTTTTAGACACCTAGGAAAGCAATTCTTCCCATAGGAAAACTATAAAATAGTGTTTTGTCATTTGTGCTTGCCTGTTTCAAATTCCAAACACCCTTTGAAAATCGTTCACAAATTGTATCTCAGCCATAGAGCAACCTAGATCATTTTGTTCCTATTCCTGAATCCCTAGAGTAGTTGTAATTAATCACAAGTTGCACTATGAAATGTTATGTTCCTGCTATTAATTATTTTTTAAAAATGGGTTTTCCTCTATTTATCAAACTATGAATTTCACAATAGGAATAGGACGCACCTCAGGTGTTTCATACTCTGCTTCATTCCCTAGGGCTCCAGCTAGTGCCTCATACATAATGAGTGTGAGATTAAAACATTTCAGGAAAAAATTGAAGTATTATCACAATTCCTCATTTCCTTATAAGGTATACATCAATCTGTCCTTTAAACAAAGCTGAACAGTTTCTTTCAGTTCTACATTTGATTTGTAGCACGCTTCTGACATTTAAAAACTTATGTATCCTGTCTCCTTTTTAATTAAATGTACACCCATTCACAAAAAACAGACATACATATTAGCTCTATGAGAGTCCTAAGAGGGAGATAAAATGTAAAGAAACACAGAGAGAAGCATCTAATTATGTGGTGAACTTTCCCCAGGAACCACAGCAAAGTTTAAAACATTGTATTATTATGTAAGGCACATTACCCCTAATATCACAACTAAGGTTCGACATACACATCAATAATCAAAGATAAAGTGAATGCCAAAGAAAAACTTTGAGCCATGAGGATTCCAAATACACTCAGTTTTAGCCCTGGTCAACAATTGAGTGCTATGACTTGGAGAGCCGGCAAGGCACAGGAGTTACACAGAGCTCTTCCAACACAGACACAGGTTTATTCCAAGCCCTGACACTTACTGGTAATTTTGACCGAGTTACTTATTAATTTCTCTGTGACTCTAAGGAAGATTTTGAATGTACAGCCATTAGGAAAAAAAAAAGTCATGAAACTGCCAATGTTAACTCTTCACATAACCTCTTCAAAAAGCACTTCACAACATTTAGATTAATAAGTTAGATATGTCATGAATGACCATTGGAACCAAGATTTATTCCAGCACCCTACTGTGTGCCTACTGTTATCATTTCAGACAGATCCTTCAACACACATTTAGTACAGAAGGCATTCATCAGTAAGCACAACAGAAAGAGGCGGCTCCGTCCACCACGAGTTCAGGGTCTGGAGGAGAAGCCTGAGAGGCTAGCACAGAGCATCGCGGCCGGCGCGAGGCGACAGAGGCTCCTCAGCTGCCGCGCGGAGGAGGGCTGACTGTGGAAGGAGCCGGCAGCCTCGCGTGTTCCTGCGCGTCCCTGCGCCATCGCCTCGCCGTGCGGGTCGCA